GATTTTAGATTTTTTTAGTATATTTTTTTTTTATTTTTTACTTTTTTTGGGGTGTTTTCTACAACTTTAGATTTTTGAAAGTCTGTAAATTTTAAAATCTTATGGTGTTGTATATAATTACAGATTGTTCAAGGAACTACTCAAATATTTCTGATTTTAAAGTTGTTTTTTATAATTTTTAGATTGTCTACGATGTTTTTATTAAAAATAAGCTCTTTCAAGAGTGTTTATTTATAATTTTGTAATTTTCAGGGTGCTATCTATAATTTTATGTTTTTAGGGGATTGTTCAAAATTTTCATATTTTTAGTGTGTTTTTTAATTTTTTAAATTTTTAGTGAGGTGGTCGTTAGTAATTTTTAAATTTTAGAATTTTACATCTAATTTCATATTGTTTAGGACGTTCTTGAAAAAAATTAGATTTTAGGGTTTTTTATAAGTTTTGGAAATTTGGGTGTATTTTTATAATTTTTAGATTTTTTTTTTGGGGGGGAGGGGGGTCCTAGTGTTTGTAACTTTTAGAATTTTCAGATAACTATCTGTAATTTGTAGTTGTATAATAGGTTATTTATAGTTTTTAGAGTTTTAAGGACTTTTTAAAAAATTTAATATCTATGGGGTTGTTTGTACTTTTCTAATTTTAGGGTGCTTTCTATAATTTTAGACTTCTAAGAAAATTGTTTATAACTTTCAAATTATTAAGTATTAATTAAATATATTTCTATTAGTTAGGATATGATCCCAAGTATTGTGTCATGGATCAACTTAAAAAATTATATTAATTAGAATAAGATTATAATGTAATATTTAAAAAAAATCAAGAGTAATATTGTTCAATGAAGCTTTTCCAAACTCCTACTTCTAAAAAGAGTATGATCGGAACGTATAGAACTATGTGGGGTTTTTTATAAATGGAAGTATAACTTTGGGTTTACAAGCAAAAACCCCCATTAAAAACATATTATATCAATTTGTCAATACTTATTGATTTCTCATGGCATAATTTGGTGACAAGCCGCATATATACTTAGATATTGTAGCAGAACTTGTAGCTGCAAACCTCATACAATCAGCATGCCGTCCAAGGTTGCCATCTGAAATAGAATCATCTCAGCATGCAATTAGTTACGTGTTCTGTCTACAACTAATTAATGTTTCCAAAAGAGAGAGATAATTGCTAGAATGTTATCTTTCGAAGTTCCATAAACTTGCGCATAAGAAAATTTTAAATTGAACGCTCATAGGAAACGCTACATTCACGGTTAGCATTATGATGTCAGAAATTAGAGAATGTACGGGGAACTTCTTTTTTTTTTATCGAAAGAAACAGGGAGAGATTCCATGTTCATATATATTTATATAAATCAAAATATGATAGAATATACATAGTGTCCCAAAAAAACCCAAGATAAAAAGAACCAGAAGAAAAATAGGCTAGAAAGGAGAGGATCTTGTCGTCACTTTCCGAGCCTATTCTAAATTGTTTCCAATCATCCCAAGATTAACAAAAAACAAAAAAAAAACATACATAAACCAAAAAACCAGAAGAAAGAGTCTGCTGGGAATTGTTTCAAAGAACTTCCCCTACTGTCTTAAAACATATAAATACTACAAAAGAAGAACTCTTCTAAGATCTCAAAAGTTTTCTCCTACTGCATCCCTCGAAGTGACCTTTGCCAGCTCCTGAAGTCCGAGCTCGATGGTCACTTTGTGGATTGTTGCTGATCTTTTGCTAGGCACCAAACCTGTCCATTGAAGAGTAAAACGAGCAATATGAGATGCTATATGCAAGGGGGAGGTTGAGACACCATTGAATATTGTTGTGCGCAGCGAAAATTTCGGCAGAGTTTCTGGTGCACAATAAGAGAGAAAGATCAATAAGAATTACTGTCTCACCAAGGAAACAAGAATCTAAAGCGAATATCTCAACAAAGTGAGATATCGGCTCTTCCTCTCATCAGTTCTAGGACTGACTTGTCGAGAGATCCTAAAAACTATTACAATGGTCACAAACACAAATAAACTAATTTTACGTGGTTCGACAAACTGCCTACGTCCACGGGGCAAGGAGGGGGGAGATCTAGTATTAGAGGGAGAGATACAACTAGGGTTTACAATCACTCAATCTAAACCCTCACAAACTCTCAGATCTCTCACACAAAGGCTCTCTCAAAACAGCAAAACAAAAGCTCCTTTTCTTTCTGTAGCCGCACACCACAAACCCTTGCACGCAGCCCTAAAGAATCACCCAGCCTTCTGCTTTGCTTTTTCTCCGTAGCCGCACAAACTCTGCAGCCGCACACACTCCTTCTGCACTCCCTCAAGTTTGTACTTGCGCCATACTTTCACAAAGCAAACCGCAGCTAAAAAGAAATCCACCTTGCACACCTAAAACCTAAGAGCTGAAGCTATATATATAGCTTTAACCGGTCAATCGGGTGGGCCTTCTCTTTGTCCGCTGGACCAACCAATGAAAAACCACTTCTATCTCTTCACACGGAAGAGCTTCTCATCTCTTCACATAACTGCATCGAAACCCATGAAAAACCACTTCTATCTCTTCACACGGAAGAGCTTCTCATCTCTTCACATAACTGCATCGAAACCCACTGGGCAATAGCCTCCCACGCCTTTTGCTTTCGCCTGCTGGATATTAGCCAGCCTCCCACTTCACATGCGTTCACAATTCTCCACTTCGGCGAAGTTTCTTCCAAAACTGAGCCGACACCAACCAAAACAAATGTCCCACTTATTGCGTCTAGGACAAAGTGAAACAATTCACGACAACGAACTCAATCCACAACAAGTCGAGAACCCAAACGAGAATGTAATCACTCTCCAAATGTCAGTATCAACTCACCAAACCGGTCTCACCCCCATCAAATAATCCAACCCGGCTGCATCATAAAGACTGCCTACGTATCCTCTTGCCCAAGGAATCAAGCCGAACGTAGTTCACCCAATTGGCCTCCAAATATCTCAATCCACTAGAAGAGTTCGCAACCCTTCTCCAATATCATCAACTCTGCGGCTGATAGCACATTCAATGGCCTCAAACACCTCCACCTGAGGTGAACCAATGGTCATATCCAAACTGCATCTATCAGCTACACTCGAATCAAAACCCAACTTATCATCTACACCCAAATCCAAATGATCCCTAAGCTGTGTCACCTCAGCTGGAATCCCAAACGATACAGAATGATCTGGAGTATATGGAATAATCTCTACCCAATGTGAAGTAGCATCAATC